TTTTTTTTTTTTTTTTTTTTTTTTTTTTTTTTTTTTTTTTTTTTTTTTTTTTTTTTTTTTTTTTTTTTTGTTCTTATATGAGAAATGATGATATGATTATTACTAATTTAAGGTTGGATCGATCATGAGCGATACAATGTTGAAACGATGACGTTATAGTTTTTGGTGGTTCTAAGCTAATGGTGGGTGGAGCTCTAATAATTAAAGATGTGATTAGTTAAAGTTTATGTATAATCGAGCCACTTGGGTCTATGCTCGAGTGATATGAATCAAAACGAAGAAAAGAAACATTGTTCTAATTACTATAAGATAAAATTTAGTTGCAATTAATGTCACGTTAAAGAAAAATCAAATTTTATTTGTGAAATCATGGATTCAAGCTACTTCAAATGGGACTTCGTACGTTCTTTGTGGTCATAAATTCTTGGGTCGATGATTGAAATCTAGATTTATGGTTCTTTAGTGATGTAATTTTATTTATTTACTTTTTAGGTTATATTTACATAATGACTAATTATGATGGTAAAGTATGAAGGTTACGATTCTTAAAATGTCTCGTAAAAGGCTAGAAGTTTTATTTTGAAACTATATAACATCTCGTATTTATTTTTACAATGGTATGCTATTTAGTTTGCATGTTTAGAATCATTGAAACTTAGTTAGTATGATATTGTGTGTGAAGTGATTTAAATCTCAAACAAATTTTTGTACCTTAATTATTTGGTGACTAAAATAATCTGGTAATTAATTTGATAGAATTTTAAAATTTTAAATAGAGTCGACTAAATAAAAGTAAAAATAATAATAATAATAAATGACCAAAGATTGAGCACTTTTATATGTGGAGATTTGTCGACGATTTTATTATTATTAGCTTCACCTTTCCACATTTAAATATCAAAATAACTTTTTAATTTAACTTATTTTTTCCAACGGCTATCTAGTTTATTATTTTATTTTATTTTATTTTATTTTTATCTCTTTCCACTTTACAAATCTTACTACCATGAGTATTTATTCCTCAATTATTGGCAATAATAATTTATGAAGTCAACATTAATTTACTCATGATACGTTAATAATTCATGCATAAATTATTACCCATTTCATTACATAAATTATCTTGAAAACAATTTATTATTTTTACTTTAAAATATTATTTTAGTCCATACATTTTAAATTTAGCTTCATTTATTTTAATTTATATATGTTTAATAAATCTTAAAATTTTAATCTTTAGCTTTATTTTTCATTATCTAATCTAAAAATCGAGAAAAACATAGTGGACCTAAATTCTTTATAAATTTATGTAGAGTAAGGCAATTCAAACCTACCACCTCTAAGAGAATATAGAAATATTTAAACGGTTGACCTAAGAGCATAAGTTGGTCATAACTCTTGATTACTAGAGCGGATCGTGTAGTTTGACAGATTATTTAACTAAAAATGTTTCATTAATATTTTTATTTTTAAAAATGGTGCTTGTTTTCTTCTTTTTTTAATCACGTTCTTCATTTATCCGATAAAAACATCTAAATTCTACTTCCACTAGTTTAGAAAATGATAACAAAACAAAACAATTCGTAGGTAACTAAAATTTTAAAACTAAAAGACTAAATAGCTATCGAACCGAAGGGTCGAAGAAGTTCATTAAATTGAAGAAGAGAATGGTAGGGGAAACAAGAAATAAAGAGTTGAGAGGGATGGTGAGTATAACAGGGGTGGTATGTTGATGCGTGAATGCGATGAATGCTAATATCCCTATCCTATATCCACTCTTTTAAGTCATTAAATTCAAAAAGGGAATACGAGGAGAGGGTATTTTACAGTGTCTGCGTACCCTCCAAACCAAAATCTTTCCCTGAATTTAGAACCAAGACAAAAATATGCTCGTGTTCCAACCAGGCTAACAATCTAGTTCACCCAAAAACAACGATACTTTTAGCATTTTTCGACCCTAACAACTCAAAATTCAAAGAAAAACTACGAAAAAAAAGCATCCAAGCTGAAACCCACTCATAAAAGGTCAAAACAAAAGAGAATCGACTATGTTCAAATATTTCTACCAGATCAATCATACATCAAAAGGCAATTTGAAAAAAAAAACAAAAGCATCCAAAAAGGGTTTAAAGGTTTTTTTTCTGTGGTCAAAAGTGTTAGAATTTCATAACCGTTACTGAAACCAACACCCTCACAGATGGCAAAAATGCCTGATGATAGACAGCATAAAAATATGATAAAAAGAAGGAATTGCTAACCCAATTCCCAAAGAACGTTAAAGAAAAAGTAAGCGTTTTGAATCTTCTTGCTAATAGAGATGAATTTTGCTCACAAAAGTTGGTGGGAAATTGGAAAAAAAGAAGGCTTACTTGGGCGCTGGCATGAGCAAAATTCATCATCTAATGAGACAAAACCTTCATAATATTGTCAAGCAAAATTAGAAGCAATGGAATCAATAATTGACAAAAAAGAATGCGTATAATGAAAGTAGAGGGTGGTTGAATCGTACGTTTTATGTAATCATTAGCAGTTTTTTAAAAGAAATAATCAAATATTAGATTCATGATTTGATATAATATTGAATTAATTGGCTCATAGCACCTATATCCAACCTTCTTTCTAGACTATAGGGTAGAGGAGAAAATTATATAAAATAAAATTTAAAAAATCATAAAGATGCCAAAATCAATATCCTACCCATATAAAAAGAATTTAGGATTAAAATAGAGGTCGCTATTCCAATCGTCCCACCACCTACTGATTCCTTTTAATTATTATTCAGCTTTGCAAAAGAAATTGATCCAAAAGCTAAAAAGATCTGATATCCTAGGCAATAACCAACTAAATTATTGTAAATGATAGCTGGAGAACTTTTCATTGATTTTGAGTCATCGTCACCATTCCATCAAAACCATCAAAACCTATGCATTGGCAATAGATTCAATGCTTTTCTAAACACTATGAGTTCGGTCTGGCCTACTAAGTACTAATCGAACAGGAATTCACAAGAGAATGAGTTTAAGCTATAATAATCACCTACTCAAGAATAATATAGAGCAGGAAGGTCAAATAGTTGTCTCGTGAGAATAGTCGAGATGCAGACAAACTGGCCTACATGTTCGTAGATTGATAACAACCGTAAGAGTATGGCACCTTAAATGTACCCACAACTAATTTCACGAGATAATTGTTAAAAATCCATGGAATCCTAATATCTAGAAGTAGATAGTATGAATAGTAGGTAGTGACCATCATGAGATTTGAACCTCTATCACAAAACTTCTTTAATTTGCCCCAATAACCACAGACCACATTAGGGGTAGTTGTCATTAACTGAATACTACACTCTTCTTTCTTCTTTTCTTCCTCAAGGGAATCATATGTAAGAGGGTGGGTGGGGCATGATCCTGTGTGAAAGCACTGATGAACCTCAAATGTGTAGCAGTACACATGTCCTTATGCTATTTATTACTTCCCACCCACCATTCATCTCCATTTTTTCTCCCAAGGATGAAAGGATCTATTTCCTTGTGATGCTGACTTAAAAGCCATTAAAGCCAGCACTACCAGACCCCACAAAATTATGAAGGGATATTTTTAATGAAAAGGAATTTTAAATGTTATCACTGGGATATATGACCACCTAACTCCCTACACTCACAATCTCTAAATAAGTTACTTTATTTTTTCACATATACACACACAAAAACGTTGTGCAATACAGCTCTACTCGTGAAGGATTTGGTGAAATCTATATGATCAGTAAGGCAAACCTAAATT